TACTGGGGGCGGCATGGGCTGGTGAACGGCATGCTTACTCATCCCCAATCATCACTGCATGGGGGTCACTGGTTCGAACCCCCTGCACTCATCCTTAGTGGCAATCAGCAGGTCATTTATGTACTGTAGGAGGTTTACCTCTGGGTGCGAGGCCCGATACTCCTGCAAGTCCTGATGTAGAGCCTCGTCAAAGATCGTGGGGGAGTTCTTGAACCCTTGTGGTATTAAACCCATGTCCATTAAACCCCTGGTTCGGGTCTTGCCACTCAAAGGCAAAGATAGGTTGGCTTTCTTTCACCAAGGTCAGGCTAAAGAAGGCATTCTTGAGATCTAAATCTGTATAGACTTTTCTCTCTGGGGAGAGTGAGCTCATCAGGGTATATGGGTTGGGGACTATAGGGAGATATCCTCTACCCTCTTGTTAACTTCTCTCAAATCCTGCATGGGGCAGAAGTCATTAGTCCCTGGCTTCTTGACAGGTAGGAGAGGGGTGTTCCATGGAGATTGGCATGGAACCAGAATACCAAACTCTCTAAGGTGGTTTATGTGTTTGGTAATTCCTGCCCTGGCTTCGAGAGTCATCGGGTACTGTTTTACCCTTACAGGTTTATCATTAGCTTTTAAGGTCACCATTATTGGTGGCTTTTGGATGGCCCTCCCTGGGGAATTAGTCTCCGCCCAAACTACAGGGATTGTTGCCTGGAGGTCCTTGAAGATAGTGGTTGGTCCCTGTTGAGGTGGTGGGGTGTGCACCCTCCATTCTTCTTCCAATTGTAAACATAAGACGTAGGCTGCGTTCAGTACAGTCACATCAGGAGGCCTTCTCCCAGAGAAATGGATCTGAGCCTTCATTTTATTTAGCAAGTCCCTACCCAATAAGGGACACAGGCACTCTGGGACCACCATAAAGGAGTGTGAAACTGTCTTCTTACCAAAGTTCATTTCCCTTTTGGTGGTCCAGGGGTGTTGAGCGATTCCCGTGGGACCTTGCACCCAGGTGTGTTTACTGATTGATTTCCCCATAGGCTCTTTCAAAACTGAATATTGTGCTCCAGTGCCAATTAGGAAGTTGACGGCTCGTCCCTCCACTTATAGGGTCACCCAGGTCTTGTGGTGGAGGCTCATCAAGCCCGGGCCCCTGCAGTTTTCTAGGTTTGGCAGTTCGAGGATCTTGGGCTTGGAGTGAGGCTGGGATCTCAGTTTTTGAGAACATTCCCTAGCCCAGTGGTCCAGTTGTTTACAATATGCACTCTGGTCTCTTTTTAGGAGGGGCCAACCTTCCTGTGGGGGTTGTGAGGCTCGGGTTCCCTCTTTCATAGGGGGTCGGTCCCCCCACTTGGGGTTTGTCGCTCTTTCAGCCAATAGTATCCTAGCAAGCCCTCTAGTTTGTCTTTCTTCAAGGTTTCTCTATTGTTAAATACCTTGTTCGCCACTGCCATCAGCTCAGAAAGGTTTTTGCCCTCAAAACCTTCCAGCTTTTGAAGTTTTCATTTTATGTCTGAGGCTACCTGATTCATGAAAGCCATATTGATGGCCATCTGATTTTCTGGGGCCTCTGGATTAGTGGGAGTATAAGTTCTGAAGGCCTCCAGGAGCTTATCCCTTCCCTGCATCACCTGACTGACCTTAGACAAATTTGTAGGGCACTTAGAAACTGCCTGGAGACCCCCGGTAAGAATCTGGCTATAGACTTTTAGGTGTTCCCTACCTTCTGGGGTGTTATAGTCCCATCCCTCCATAAGGTGCATGGGGGGAAAAGCAGCCACAATCAAGTCCTCATTCTCTGTTGGTCACCCATCGTCTCCAGGGACTGCGTGTCTGCATTTCTGAAGGATGCGGTTCCATTCCTCAGTGGTGAACAGGATATTTAGTAACTGTCGGCAATCATCCCAAGTGGGTTGGTGGGTAAAAAGAACTGTATCTAGGAGGGAAACTAGGGCCTGAGGCTTCTCCGTGAAGGAGGGAGTCTGTAACTTCCAATTATACAGGTCACTAGTAGAAAAGGGAAAGTAGACTATGGGTGCAATTCCATACTCCCTCAGGGGCCCAGTCTCTCTCAGAGGAAGAGCTCATACTGTCCTCCCCTCCCCCCATGAGTGCATGTGCAATGGGCTGGGCTTGGCCATGAAAGCCAGGGACAGAAACCAGGAAGAACCAGAGGAGGAGGAGGAGGCTCAGGATCTGTGTTCTCTAGGTCTATCCTGAGCACTCGATGGGGCCCCGTAAGGGGGCAGGAGTAAATCCTCCTCTGGCACCGAGGGGAGGTCTTCAGGACCCTATGGGTTTTTGGTTGGGACTTTCTTCAGGGGAAGTAAAGTGGCTGACCCCTTCGGCTCTGATGGTGGGGGCGGTAGTAAGGGGTGCTGTCAATCGGTGGGGGTAGGTTTACCAGATATCGCCAATCTAGGATGTAGGGGATCTGGTTAGGGTGCCCCAGTTCCCTGAAGACAACTCCTTGAGCCCTGTAAATGAGGGACAAGTTAAAAGACCCTTCAGATGGCCATTCAACATCAAAGGAGGGCCATTCGATGGTGCAGAGGTTCCAGAGGCGGGTCGGCTTGACATGGAGTCCAGACATGGTTGAAGCCACCTGTTTGTAATCCTGAAAATGACTAAGAACTAGATCAAGGGGAGCTGAAGATGATGAGACTTTCTGGCCCATTGTGGGATAAGCTTCAAGAGAAAAGAATATAAGGAGAGAGATGAGAATGAGAAGAAGTAGGATGGAAAGTTGATAGACAAGGAGGAGCTCTGAGCAGAGGGTGAGGACAGTATGAGATGGTGGCTCCCTAGAGGGGGAAATGAAAATCTCAAAGTGCACGGAGTCAGCCAAGAAGGCTGCCCTGTCCCTTTCCCAAAAAGATTTGGCCAGCCTCGATTCCACATCAGACTCAACCAGAATCTTGTATCTGGCCTGCCTGGATTCCACATCAGGCTGGAGCACGACCCCCTATCAGAGGAGGAGTTGGGGCTTCCCCCATTCTCCTCCAGCTCTGGGATCAATAGGACATCCCACTGGCCTCCATTGAGCCCCAGGATGTCTGCACTACTGAAAAGCAGGAGAGAGAGAGAGAGAAAGCAAAAGCAGGTGAACTTACCAAGGCTGACTTTGTTGGTGCACTCCCATGGGTCTGGGGCCTATATTCACGAATCCTGGATGAGCCCCCAACTGTTAGGGTCTGAGAATTGAGAATAATTCCCACAGACACCAAGAAGATTGTACAAAAAGTTTATTCGGGAATTTAGAGCAAAAACAACCAAATGGTGGCTAGCTGGGCACAGACTTCACAAGCCAAAGATGGAGTCTGGCCCGAACAATAGCAGGCAGGGCTTTTATTGGAGAACTCCACAGAAACCAGATGCGTGTGCCAAGCATCTTTTAAAATGATTGGATGGCCCCATGTTCTGAGTATGGGGGACATTTTGAATGGTAGGGTCTGGCTTCAGGGCATTGGAATGTGCTGACTGATATCTTTAGGGCCAGAAGTTTTTGTTTATACCTTATAAGGTTTTTACATGTCCAGGGCTTGCTTAATCTATAGCTTCCTGGGGGGGGGTAGCAACTGGGAATTTACAACATACATGGGCTTGTCCGGGCTTGTCTGAAGAAGCTAGCCAAAATGGAGTCAGTGCATTCTGGCTCTTCACAGCAGGTCTGAGGCAATGGCCCGACTGCTGGAGCCACGAGGAACACCTTGTGATTATTGCTCCATTTGGCAAGTCATAGGGTTGACATTTAAGGGTCGCCACTCCCTAGTTGCCACCTCTTGAAATTCCAGATTGCAGTTTATCTACAGCTTGCAGCACGTGGGCATAACAACAGCCACAGTCATGTGATTTACTGGAACCTGGGCTGCCCATATATGGCATAGTCATTGTATCCCTGTATGATTGGTCATGGAACCAGGGCTGCCCATATATGGCGTAGTTGCTGTATCCCTGTCTGATTGGTCCCGGAACCAGGGCTGCCCACATATGGCATAGTTGTTGTATCCTTCCTTGTCTGATTGGTCCGGGACCCTATATAAGTTTGTAAATTCCTCAATAAAATAGATCTATGTCACTGAAGCTGGTCTCCTATGTCTGAAATGCGGGCTCCGCTGACACAGTCTCCTCACCAGCCCTGGAATCTGGGATTGGGTGGCGGCAGTGGTGGCGACGACCGTGAAGGCAGACCGGCTGGCCGGCTGCAACCCTTGTGCTCAGTGCCCCTGCTGCCTAGAGTCCAGATCCCTCCAGCTCAGGGATTTTGGAAGGGACAGACAACTTGGTCAGCCCTAGGCCCACCCACCTCAGCCCAGTTGGTGGCAAGAGAGGAGGGAAAGTTATGTGTTGATGGGCTAGGGGAAAACTACAAAGTGGGTAGAAGAGAGGACACTGAAAGGCAGAGAAAGGCCAGGGAGGGCTGAGGAGGGCAGGAAGTGCAAGGGGACAGAGAAAGGAGGGGACTAGGAGCAGCCAGGAGAGCTCTGTTAACCTGGGGGATGCAGGGCAGAGGAAGGGGTTTCTGGTGAGAGACATGGAGGGAAGAGAGGGCAGAGGAAAAAGAGATGGCAGAAGAGGGGAGAGGAATGGAAGCTACACTGGTGGCTCCCAATCCTGGTCTAACCTCAGCTGTCCAGTATCATCCCAGGTAACTGGCAGGGAGCATGGTCAGTAGGGTAGCCTGTGGCCACCCCACTACTCAACTTGATGTAAGGGTGAGACCAGATCCTGCCTTGCATCTGGCTGGGCATCCAGCAGGGCTTATGGGATAAACGCTGAAGGATGTCTGGATATTCCACCTGGACCTCCCTTGTCCAGGATGGCCCAGAGCTGCCCAACCCTTTCTTCAGAATTCTGAGGGCGCTACCTGTCTTCCCAAGCTCCCTCCACCAGCCATGGAACATTCTGTGCTAGAAAGCTCCAAAATAGACAGACCCTAGACTTTGCCCCAGGGTAGCCCAGTTCTCAGCTGGCCTGACCCAATAGTCTCTCGACCCATCTCTTCCACTTCTCAGGCAATGACAGCCAGGACACCATGTGTGCTGACTGCCTGACAGGGACCTTCTCACCTGGAGGGACCCAGGAGACATGTCTACCATGGACCAAGTAGGTGACCTCGGGGGTCTTAAACTGTATCCGGGGAAAGGGCCACTCTGTTTCCCTGGAAGATGGGCACTGACATCCGGCAGAAAGCAGCAGGTGAACCTGGGTAGCCTATAATCAGAAGCCCAAATGACGGACAGCAACGTGGGTGAGCCTGGACCCCCAGAGACCAGGTGGCCGTAGCCAGAACGAAGCCTCTCCAGGCTGTCCTGTGACTGTGGGACCTGGGAGTCAGGGTTGTTGAAGCATTCTGAACTGGAGTTGGGGGAAGCTGGAAGATGCTGTTCTCATGGTGAGGACCTGCTCCACTTGAGTCAGGACCTCTGCACATGTGGGTCCCTCTCCCCAGACCTGACCTGCAAACTCTGGGTCTCTGAGGGTAGCCAGGTGTGTTCCTGGGTGGAACCTGGGGTGGTGGAGATGTGTCTTTTCTAGGGAAGGGCACAGGGACCCGTCCTTCCTGCCTCTGTCCCCATCGCCCTCTGTCTTCATGGGTATCATTTTAATCTCTGACTTTGGTGATTTTCCTCCTGTCTCTAGGTCAAACTCCTCTCTCTCTCTCTCTCTCTCTCTCTCTCTCTCTCTCTCTCTCAAAAAAATTTTTCTTTTTCTTTCTCTTCATCTTTCTGTCTCCCCTAAACTGCTTGGAAACTGGGACAGGCGTGAGCCCCATCCCAGAGGTGCTTATCAGCTAACGTGACCCCAAGCTGCACAGACCCCAGGACCATCCTCTGGTTCTGAGGAGGCCTCAGGCCTGTGCAGTATTCAGCCTGCAGCCGTGCCCCCCACCACAGCCCATGATTCCTCTCTCGTAGGTGCCTGGCGTGGCTCAAGGAAGAAAGAGAACACGGGACCAGCAGCACGGACGCCTCCTGCTCCTTCTCCTGGGGATTCTACCTTCTTGTGGTCATCGTGTCGGTCCTTGTCCTTGTCACTGTGGCTGTCTTGATGTTCTCCAGGAGAAGAAGGCACACACGTGAGCAGTGTCCCATCCTGTCAGGGATCAGGCCCACAGCTTTGGCCCTAGGGTTCCTTGTGGGATTTTCTGGACCCCTGCATGCACAGCAGCTGCTGATGTTGGGGGACTTCCTGCTTTGCCCAGAGCCTGGGTGTTAGGTGTCCTCGGGGGGTCGGCACGGTGGGGCCCCTGGCTATGGAGCCTCTACCACCCCTGCCCACTCCTAAGCATGGGCCCCGGCTCCCATCTGCCTCTGGAGACTATTGGGAGCCCAGAGCAGTCTGTGTTCAGAAGACCAGGCTCAAACTATCCCTCCATCTGTCTGTCTCTCCACCTGTCTGTCTGTCCCTCCTTCCTCTTTCCTTCCTTTCCTTGTTCAGTCTTCTTCCTTTGGCTCCTCAGCTGTGCCATGCTGAGCTGCATCGTTGTGTCCAGCTCGCAGACCAGCTCAGGCCTGGGCAGCCTGGGAACATTTCACAGAAGCAAAGAGAACAAAAAAGGCCCCTCTCAGGCATCAAGGAAACACATCTGTGTTCCCACCCCTGGGTCCTCTGGAACCAGGAGACATCTAGGCTCTAGCATGGGCCAGGTGGCCTATCCTGCCCATCCTTCTTCTCTGCTCACTTGGGCCTCTGCTCATGGGAGTGAGTAGGTTGCCCCCTCTGTGAAGTGGGTTAGTGGTGGCCTGGGTTGGACTCATGGCGAGGTATGCGGGGGCCTGTTCTCTCCCCTGGTGGACCTCCTGTGCATCTTGACACATGTCCATGGCTCACTTCATCTTGTCTCAGAGAGGGTCAGGCTCTTGAGCAGGTCACACAGCCAGACCTAGAATGTGGGTTGCCCATTGCTGTGTGCCATGTCCCCTGGCCAGTCATTCTGGCCTCTCCTATGACCTGATATCTTTGTGTTACAGGTCCTGTGACCAAGGTGCTGGTCTCTCTCCAGGTATCATTGCTTGGGTGTTTGGTGGGGGGAGGAGGTCTCAGCAGTTTGGGGGCCCCTACTTCACGGTCTGTAGCTGAGCTTTACAGGAAAATGGCCCCAAGAACTATGCATGCCTTGTTTGGTGTCTGAGAGCCTGAATGTTACCCTGAATTTCTCTAGCAGGGGAAGAGACAGGAGAACCCTGTCAGGTTTCCAGTTACTGAGGTCACCATTGTGGCCGAGGAGGAGACAGCCCTCAACTGCTGACCAGCAGGCTGGCGACCAGACATCTAGGATGGCCCTGTCTGGGAGCTGTGGCACATCTGGGTAGTCGTCTTGGACTGTTCCAGCCTCACACAGCTGCAGAGATGGGATCAAGGCTCAGGTTCTAGGAGTCGGTGCATGCTGTTCCCACCATCCAACAGGGTACAGATACCTCCTGGTCGGTTCCCATAGCCCCCTCCTTTCAAACCCTGGGAGGTAGTGACCAAAACCTCAAGGATGCAACGACAGCCATCCCTGGCCCTGTGTCATAGCCTGGCTCTTCCAGTCCAACTCAGAACAGCTCTGGCTCAACCCAAGCCCTCTGGCTGTCCTCGACATGTTGAGGCCCAGCTTGTTCATCTGGAAGACAGACTTGTGAACCCTGTCTTCTGGGACTGGGGCTGTACCTAAAGGGTATGAGTGGGGCATCAGGGGATTTTTTTTGGGGGGGGGAGGCCAGGTAAGGGCTGAGAAGCTGAAGTCTACCGCCAGTCATCTTCTCCCCTTTGTTTCCTGGGAGTCTGATGTGGTTCGCCAAGCTGGGTCTGGACTCATTCCACATACCTAGCAAGTTTTGTGCTTGTGGTCGTTCTACCTCAGCCTCCAAATAACTGTGATTATCAGTGTGGGCCCTCAGGCCCGGCCAAGATTGTTTCCCTTCTCTTTTGTTTTTTTCTTTTTCAGTGTATGTCTGTCAAAGTAATTGTGCGTGTAAGTGTCTGTGTGTGCATGTCTATATGCACATGCAGACTTCAGAAGTCAGCCTGGAGTATTGTTCTTTAGGAGCTGTCTGTCTTGTTTTTGAAACAGACTGGGGCTCCCAATTTAGCTCGACTGGTTAGCTAGGGCCCCGGGGGATTCTTTCGTCTCCGTCTTCCCAGTGTCGGGACAAGCGTACATCACCATGCTTGTGGCGTGAGCGCCTTACTGACTGGTAAATCTCCTCATCCTCTGGAATGATTTTTTTTATTGTATCTGTTCTTTTCTACTTGTCATAAGAAATAAATATTTAGCCCGGCGTGGTGGCGCACGCCTTTAGTCCCAGTGCTTGAGAGGCAGAGGCAGGCGGATTTCTGTGAGTTCAAGGCCAGCCTGGTCTACATAGTGAGTTCCAGGACACCTGGGGCTACAGGGAGACCCTGTCTCAAAAAGACCGAAAAAACAAAATAAATATTTTTGTTACACGCTTTGCCTCTAGATTGATATCTATGCCTCATTAAGCATTTGTCTCTACTGTGATTGTGATGGCAGCTGCTGCAAGGTGATGCTCCTGTGCCATGTGGTCACTTGGTCAGGGGCATCCACTGGCAGCGAGTAGTTGCCCTCACTGATGTCACGGTAATCTTAAGTTCCTCCTTGGGTTCAGTGGCTTTGAGTCCATTGCTGTCATTGATTTTAAGTCCTGGTATTTCTGGCTGCATGCTTTCCAAGAGGTCTCAGATTCTTTGAACGTTTCCCATCACTCCCTGAGAGCTTCCTGTGAGGCCCAGTGTTATGCTTCAGGCTCACCAAGTCCACATGCCCTGATCCCGGGGTCCCCTAGCTCCATTTGCATTCATGGAGGGACTGGTCCTTAGAAATGGAGGTTGGGGGCCTTCTCATTGCGTGGTGTACAATGGTCAATTTTAATTGTCAGTCTGGTTGAGGTGAGCAGCTCCTGGGAGATCAGCAAGGCACCCTCCAGGTGTGTCTGTGGGGCCTGCACAGACACTACCTCCTGAGGAGAGAGTCCTGAACTGGGTGTGGGTGCCACCATCCCATGGGATGGGCCAGATGGAAGGAAAGGGAGAGGAGAAAACCCATGTGCTCCAGAATTCTCTCTCTCTCAGCTTCCTAGCTGCTGTGAGGTAAAGCAGCTCTGCAATGCCACCCAGGTCTGCCACGAAGCTCTCCCTCACCTCAAGCCCAGAAGGAATGGAGCTGGTGACCGAGGACTGTGAGCTCTAAAACTGCGAGACAAATGTGTTAACCTTCCTCCATTAGACATTCTCCTCAGGCATTTGTCATAGTGATAGAAAGTCATGATGGCACTGTATGCAGACTTAGGAGCCCTAATTGCACATTGGTACAGAAGCATATGTGTGCACACAGACAGGCATATGTGTATCAGTAGGGATCTAAGTATGGCCCTGTACCAGTATCTGAGGTTCTGTGTAGACAGGACCATAGGTATCTGGCTGGTTCCTTTTACATCCCTCTATCATCTATCATTTATCTATCATCTATCTATCTATCTATCTATCTATCTCTATCTATCATCTATCTATCTATCTATCTATCTATCTATCTATCTCTATTTTTTGGGGTCTTTTTGAGAAAGAGTCTCCCTGTAGCCCCAGCTGTCCTGGAACTCACTATGTAGACCAGGCTGGCCTTGAACTCACAGAGATCCACCGCCTCTGCCTCCCGAGGGCTGGGATTAAAGGCATGTGCCACCACACTCAGCCTATCATCTATCTATTATCTATCTATCTATCTATCTATCTATCTATCTATCTATCTATCTATCTTCTATCATCTGTCTGTTATCTGTCAATCATCTATTTATGATCCATCTATCATCTATCTATCATCCATCTATTTATCATCTATCATCTATCTACCATCTGACAATCATCTATCTATCATCTATATATCTATCTACCTACCTATCTATCTATCTATCTATCATCTATCTATCTATCTATCTATCTATCATCTATCTATCAATCATCTATCATCTATCTTCTATCATCCATCTATCTCTGTATCACCTATCATATATCTATCTATCAGTCATCTATTTTTTTTTTTTTTTTGGTCTTTTTGAGACAGGGTCTCCCTGTAGCCCCAGCTGTCCTGGAACTCACTATGTAAACCAGACTGGCTTTGAACTCACAGAGATCTACCTGCCTCTGCCTCCCAAGTGCTGGGATTAAAGGCATGCACCACCACGCCTGGCTCAATCATCTATCTACTAATATTTAATTATCTAGCTACCTATCTTTAATCATATATTGACCATTAATAGTCTGTGTATCTACTTTTAGTATCAATCATCTATACATCGCCTATTTATTGACCTATCTATTGTCTATCTCCTATCTAATCTAACCACTCCTTACTCATGAGCCTGTGGAACATAGATGAGGACTTACATGTTAAGGCTAGTGGTTTGGGAAGTTGAATCAGGCTGTAGAGCTGGACAGGGTGTATATGTGTTTGTCATCTGCTATGACTCAGGTGGATTGAAATCAGTTTGTGGAAGGAGTCTACATTCATGTCTCCCCAAAAGAATGTCAGATCAGGGACCAGGCAAGCATTAAGAGCCATCAGTTGCAGGTGGCTCATCCACCAAGGGGCCTCACCAGCAGCTTTAGGAGCATACTTGCCAGTATGCATCCCCCAGCCTAGTCCTCAGACTCTGGGGTCAGGTTGTTCTGCACAGCACCTAATAATAGATCTTATTTTAATGCAACAGACACCAGAATTACTGAGAGATGAGGGGCGGTGGTGGGAGGTAATGCATGAGCAGATTGGGGCCTGGGCACTGCTCTCCCGGGAGGAGGGAAGGGGTGGGCTGACACTTTAGAGACAGAGGCGTGAGTAAGGCTCAGGGATCACTGCCCTCTGCTCAGCACAGGGAGCACTTGCTCCAAGCAGCAGAGGCCGTTCGCATACACCAGATGAAGGGAGCTCTGAGGAAACTCTGTGGAGTGAGTTCCTCCCGCTCCCTGAGCTGCTAACTGAGGCTGTGGAGGACTCTGTGGATGCCCAGCCTGGAGCCCCACAGGCGTTTCCCAAGGGCTCCCCAGTACCTTCAAGTCCAACTGACCCAGGCTGCATGTGAGGTGCAGTGGGAGCCCAGAAGCTTCTCCTGCATTCTGTACTCTGTTGCCCACTACGGGATGCCTGTCCGGAACATGTGGTTTTATTCTGATGGTTTGACATCTGGAGTCTCGCTCTCCCAGGAGACTAACCCTCCAGGATCTCCAAATCCTAGATGTAGGAAACAGTGGGTGGGACTATACACTTTGCATACAGAAAATCTGCCAAGTGCCCTTTTGAAATTACTTTTCTCGTTCTTTTGACCAAATATCCAAAAAGAAACAACCAAGGAAGAAAGGTTTATTTTGACTGGCGGTTTGAGTGTACAGTCCGCCATGGTTGGAAAGTGTGCGACAGCTGGCCACATTGCATCTGCGGTCAGTAAGTAAACACAGATGGACGCTGATGGACAGCTTCCTTCCTCGTCTTTATCCAGCCTGCAGAATGGTACGACCCACATCAGGCTATGTCTTCCTACTTCAACCAACCAAAAAGGTGCCCAGAAGAATATCTCCATGGTGATTCAAAATCCTCTCAAGTCGATGACCAAGAGTAGCCATTATGTAACTGGACTTAGTTTCAGCCTGTGCCCCAACAAGACAGGTTCAACCCTTGTTCTGGATTAGCCAATCAAAAAAGCTCAATCAATAGTGAAAAGTAGAAAACGGAGACAAATTCAAAGTGGCCGTATTTGGAGACGGGCCAGAGCATCCAGTGGGATCCCGACATAAGAGTTAGGTATAAGCAGAGGACCAGAGTTATGCATAGCTAAGCAGTTTCCATCAAGGTGTGGTTCACCCATCACTGATCCCTCATTATTTTTGGCTCCACTGTCCTGCAAGGTGGTCTAACAAATTGCAAATCTCTTTCCAGGAGGAACATTTCCCTCTTCTTCTGGCATTAGATTCCTGGGGTCTTCCAGTTCCTTGGGGTCCACTGTTCAAAGGTTCATCATCAAAGTGAGGGACATAAGTGTGTCTTTAGATTATCTTCGTCACTGCCAGGCCTGTTACAATCATCCCATCCTTCACCCCCTCTAGAAGGCCCTTGCACCCCAGGCCAACAGTCCCCAGCCTACCCCACAATTAATGCTAGGCGACTAAGATTGGCCCATATACCTTAGAGCCTGTAAAATGCTGCCCACCAATCAAGCCTAGGCCAGCTCTGTGGCCTTGTCTGGCCTTTTCCGTGAGTAA